ACATGATCGAAAATCTTGGTTGAATCTTGGGATAATTTTGGTTGAATTTTAAGTGATTCATATAAAGTTTTGAATTTTGGTTGAATTTTGATAGACTGGAACATGTCACATATGAAAATGGTGAGATGAGGCTATGATGGAAGAATTAACCAAGTTGAGGCTCAAGATGCATGATACTCATATATTACATACAATAAGTTATCAACTGTCACGTCATCGATACACGGAAGGGCTATATTGCGGGTGGCTTTTGAGATTGTGGTTTGACCTACAATTATTTGATATGGACGTTTGTCTTACACAAAAAAATCACATGGAGGGGTTTTTTTGCGCAAAACCCTTATATTTTCAAACGGAGTTATCGAGTGCTACGTCATCGCTACACGGGAGGGCTGTATTGCGAGTGACTTTTGAGATTGTGGGATTGACTTGCATAATTTGGACTTGGAGGGTAAACTTACAAAAGAAATTGATTTAGAGGGTTGTTTTGCAGAAAACCTTTATTTTATCTCAAAAACAGTTTTTTGAGTTGCATTATTGGATATCAGTTTCCTACTCTTTTAACCCTCTTAATTATTAATGTAACTAGGACTCAGGACTCCCGCGATGTCACGGGAGAATAGATTTCAAAATTCTTTAAAGAGGAAAATATCAAACGAAAAAGTTATAATGAATTGAGACAACTTTGCAAAATCAAGATATATTTTATGAAAAAATGTGATAAAGGAACATATCCTTAAAAGCCTTTAAAATTATTATTAAAAAATATTATTATAAAAAAATGTGATCATAAGTAAAAATTATTAAAAGAATAGCTATAATGAGTAAATGCAATTCAATTTCTTAAACAATCATTAATATAATTATAAAAATATATTCAATAAAAATTATGATAAAAAGATGCAACATTTTAAATTGTGTTATGTTAAAGAGAGATAATCCTCGAAAAAAAATTAACAAGTAACAAAACTTGATTGTTAATTTGGAAAAAAAAAAACAGATAATGATATAGATAAGATAACAAAGTATATACATGAATGGTAGATAGCGAAGAATGCAACTTTATAAAAAAAAAGTATTAAACAAAAAGTAATAGTAAATATACACAACTTTTGTAAGAAAAAAAATATATATTGGGTAAAAAAGACATGGAAATTTAAATAGACAAAGCTATTTGTAAAAAACACCAATATTGGAACATAAAGTATGTGATGAAAAAACACAAATAATTCATGGTAAAAAGATACAACTCTAAATGAATAGATATAAATTTAATTAATGCTCACAAAAATCTTTATAAAGGACAAATATTTTAACGGTTCATCAAATATATCAAAAGTTGTAATAGTTCATCAAATAAACTAAAAATTGCAACGGTTCATCAAATATACCAAATGTTGCAACGGTTCATCAAATAAACCAAAAGTTACAACGGTATTATGTTTATTGGTTCCTAAAATAAACCAAATATTATGTTAAATTAAACGGTAGCAATAATTCATTTTAAATAATAATAATTATTATTTTTAAAAACATTTTGAAGAACCAGAACTGAGAGACGCGACCATAGATAACAAATAAACCAAAAGTTGCAATAGTTCGTAAAATATACTAAATGTTACAACGCTACTTCAAATAAACCAAAGATTACAAACAAAAATAAAAGTTGCAATGATTCTTCAAATAAACAAAAATGTTTCAACGGTTCAATTAAACAGTTACAATTATTTGTAATACATTTTAGGAACTAAAAATTTAAATTTTTTTCAATAAAAAGTATGTGAAGGAGGGACATAACATATTATATTTGTGAGCCTATAAGTCTAAAGATAACATGGTTACTCTCCACAACTTCATCGAAATTGTATTAATTTCTTGTATTTGCGTAAACGGTTATCTTAAAATGTTCATGTATCCTGTAAACAATTTTTGATATTAATATATTTAATTTACTGAAAAATCAAATTTTTTTAAAAAAATAATTTATGAAAATTACACCAAATGTTATAATGATTTATAAAATAAACCAAATGTTGCAGTTGTTCGTGAAATAAACTAATAAACTAAATGTTGTGATTTTTCAACTAAACAGTTACAACCGTTTATGAAAAGTTACTATTAAAAGACGCAACCATAGAACACATTTATCAGGGGTTACAACTTAAAAAAAAAAACACAATCCTAATATATATTTTTAGTTTTAAAAATATATTTTAGTAACTAAAAGTTTTAAAATAAAAATTTATGAAAAGTTTCACCTAGAGACGTAACTGTAGATAATTAAATGTTATAACGATTTATAAAATAAACTAAATATTGTAATTATTTGTGAAATAGATTAAATATTGCAATGGTTCAACTAAGTGGTTGCACCCGTTTATAAAAAGTTACGATAAAAAGACGCAACTGTAGAAGACATTTACGGATTGCAACTTTTGAGAAAACATAACCGTAAATATATTTTTGGTTTTAAAACAATTAACGAATGGTTACAAGAAAAAAAAAACACAACTGTTCACAACTGCAAAAAATATTTATTGGGATTATTATTATTATTATATAGATTTAGGATTATGTGCAATAAAACCTTCAAACTTGCCCATTTTTGTAACTTTACCCTCCATCTCCAAAAAATACAGATTAATCCGTCACGCTCATAAAATTTTGACAAATAATATATCAAATCGAAACCCTCGCGTTGAAGTGTTCATCTCTACTTTAAGAAATTTTAAAAACTAATGTATGTGACCTGAAAAACATTTACAATATATGTATAAGGGTTATATTGCGTATTATTTTGGACTCCGTAGAATTAATCTAAATTTTTTGGAGATGTAGGATAAAATTGTAAAAATGGACGAGCTTGAGGGTTTTTTTTTTCACAAAACCCTTATACAGTATATACATAAGATATTGATAAAAAGGTCGATATATTATAAAGTTTTTAATTTGATTAAAAACCTTAAAATAAAATAAAATATTTGATCATAAATTTTTTTAAGAAATTAATCAAATGTAAATATTAAAAAATATATATAAATATATATATTTTCAAAGATATCTTAGCCAGCTAACCGGTTAATCATGCAAAATACTCTAACTCTGATGTGTGGCTAGTTAAATGAAACGGGTTAACTCTCTTTGATATCCAAAAGTTTCTTCATAGAAAAATAACCGTAAATTCAATAATGAAACTTTATACACTAAAAATTCAACAAATTAATACTCGATTAATTTCTAATCACTATAAATTAATAATTTCTCTCGTTCTGAATTGGGCCAGTATAATAATTAACACAATTCAGAAGATAATCAAATATTTTTCTCAAAACTCCTATGCAAATATATGTTCTTGTCAATATCATAAATATTAATTAATTATATATATATATATATATATATATATATATATATATATATATATATTAGTGAAATATTACTTCAGTGTTGTTTAGTTTTTTTTTTTAATTTGCTTTCTTATTTGAGTAAATCTCTAATATTTCTTAATAAATCGAAAACTTCTTGTGTTGTCTTCTCGAATTGCATCCAGAAATTGTCAAGGGTTCTAGACTCGGTAATTGTTTTATTACGTGTAACATGGTCTAGAAAAATATTGATTCTAACAAAAAAAAGTTTTACTTTTAGATAGAAATTTTATTAGAAGTTGTGAAATTAGGAAAATATTCTCTATAAATTAACACTTCTCTAAATTTACAAAATATCATAATCTCATCATGATTAATTTATAGAGGTTTGACTGTAATTTGTTAGTAAATTTGCAATTTCATTACAATACAATTGTAACCATTATTTGCAATTGCGTTATTGCAAAAATGTAGGAAGAATATATGCAATTGTACTCATTCACAAAAAAAACGAAAATCGAATGAAAAGATTGACTCAACGTCTCAACCATTTACACATATTCATGTAACTAAAACTATATTAATTTTATTTTGTTGGGTAATAATGTCTCCTCGTGCATGGATATATAAACTATTAAACTCGTATTTTATAACAATTTATTATATATATATATCTCCAAATTATTTTTTGTTGTTTTTGGAGTTAAATCTAATTTATCTGGGAAAATTAGTATAGGATATTTGTATATAGCACAAGGTTAACATATAATAGAGCTGTTAGTTCCTAGTTCTTATAGTGGCCAACAATTAATTAGTGGACCTACACAAATAATGGAGATACCTTTTTGTAACAACATCGTAACATATATATTTTATTTTGTGTAGTCATTAACCTATATAGTCTGACATATAATACTTCCTATTTATATAAGAAACCAATGGGGTAAAATTAATGGAGAACAAAATGGGCATTGACTTTTTTATTTCCCTATGATTCTGAAAAGACAAAATTTCCCTATTACACAACCAATTGAAAGATATTCGGAAAAAAGTATTTCAAAATTAATAAAAATAAGAAATTTACAGCGCAACAAATTGTGGTTTATGAAAAAGTAGAGTAATCTACATAAGTTTTTTTTTTTTTTTTTATTCTACATAAGTAATCTACATAAGTTTTTATCTAGAAATTTTAGGTATTAAAGTACTATTTCAAATGGATCGTTTGTATTAGCCTAAACTTATGCTGTAGAAAAGTAACATTTTAATTTCTTTGATCAAATATCATTTTCAAACTAATAAAAACACTGAAAAAAATAAACAAATAAAATGAAACAACGTTTTTACTCTTTCGATTATGTATTCATTAATATTATGCGTTTCAATATACAATGAACATGTTATAATGTCTTACATATAACATGTACCATACTTTTATTCAGACACACTTTTATATGAGTGTAATTTAAAACAATCATAAGTAATTTTAATAACAAGGATAAATTACACAATTAATCATCAAAATATTATACCATGGGAGAGAGAGAAGAGTCTTGTAAAGAGAAGAAATTAAACACGACTTTTCATCCATAACCCTAAAAAGAGAGTTGTCTTTTTGGTCTTAATTTTCATCCTTTTATCATTTCCACATAGACTAACTATGTTCTTCCCCTTTTTTGTGACAAATATCTCCAACGACAATAAATTAATGTTCTTCCCCTTTTTTGTGACAAATATCTCCAACGACAATAAATTAATCCATCTTTTTCGGTTATAGGTAAGAGATAGAGACAGAGATTAATTGTCTATGGAAGTCTCAAGAGGAAGCAAGAGTGATGAGAATAACAAGAGTTGTCAGAGAGGTCACTGGAGGCTTGTCGAAGATGAAAACCTCCGGAAACTTGTTGTTCGACATGGTCCCAAGAACTGGAATTTCATTGCTCAACATTTTAAGGGACGATCCGGTAATTATATATAGATCTATCTACTTATATTCTTTTTTCTTTTTGAATTATCAAGAAGACTTGAGTAGGGTTTGATTTGTTGTTGAATTTAGGAAAAAGTTGTAGATTGAGGTGGTACAACCAATTGGATCCAAACATACAAAAGAGACCCTTTACCGATGAAGAAGAAGATCGGTTATTGAAAGCTCATGCGGTCCAAGGGAACCGATGGGCTTCTATCGCTAGGAAGTTCCCTGGAAGAACCGATAACGCGGTCAAGAACCGTTTTCATGTTATCGTGGCTAGATGCAAACGTGAAGGAGGTGCTTCCAACACTAACTATACTCTTCCGAGCCTCAACAACTTGAACGTTGAGCACTGGTGTTACCGGGCTACGCATACACAAGACTCGTTCCCTTATTGTAATTCTCTTCTTGGATCCTCATCAGTTTCGAATGATCGCCATGCAAGTCATTTTGGAAACACAAGCTTGGTGGGTTTAGAGAAAAATTATAAATTTCATGGGACATCGGATAAGAGTTCATCCGGAGATGGACTAACTAGCAATCTTGCTGATGATGTTGGGGGTGAGAATGAGAACTATAGTGTTACGTTCATTGATTTTCTTGGGGTTGGGTTAGATTCTCATTAGCTCATAATATCATATCAATATAGTTATAGTTTGAAGGGTTAATTTTTATTATTAGAGTTCACGTTTCATTTTCAAATTTTCATCCGATTCATATTTTTCCAGATTGCTATTTCTATATGTCTAACGCATGCTATTTGATGTGAGTCAAATTAAGACTTAAGACTACTCTCTCAAATAAGAGATCGTGTGTAGCACTTTAGGGTCGAATTCCACAAAGCTCTCGTATTCACACAATAGACTAACAAGGTTCAAATTAAGCTAAACAAGTAAAGATTGTAAATTAAAATAAAACAAGTAATTAAAATCGAGATGTAAATCAGATGGGAAAACGTTAGGCTTAAGGATTTTTCAAGAAATAAACTAATAGTAAATCTAGGAAATTAATTAGGATTATTTAACGAACCGTTCTAGAGCTCAAAATACTAATGAATAGCTAACCACCTCTCGATGCGCTAACTAACTAATCTAATATCAGTAATTCCACCTCTCGATGCGAATTCCTAGATCTAGACTAGCATTAAACTCAAGTTTGATATGTTCACAAATTCTCCTAGACCAACTCTCGATGCATCTAGAAATATTTGCTCGCCTAAGGTAGTTCCAGTAATAGGTGCCCTCTCGGATCAAATACCTATTATCCTAAGATCAAATTCTAGGTGATCAAGCTAGAATTAACATTAAGAATAACCTAAGGTGAAGAACTCTATAGATTAATCCTAACAGGTTATCGATCTACTAATTCATCTAAATCCCTAATGAGAATCCCTAAACCTAACAAGCAAACTACTCAGACATGGAGATTGAAGCAAACAACATGATTGAATAGAATTGCACTAAGAGAAATTAAGAAGAGATTAGAGTTTAGAAAGATCTTCTCTGGAGGACCTCTCTCCAATTATCTCCCAAAGGATTCAAGCTCCCAAGAACAAAGTAAAATAAAGCTTAAGAGAGATCTCTAAAACAAAACCCTAAAAATCTATATATATGTTCTTAAAAACGTGTAGGGACTTCTTTGAAAATAGGGAAAAGTTCTGGGATGATTCTGCAAATCTTCATAACTTCAAAGAGACTCGAAATTGCATTGCCGTCAAATCTTGTGTCGCCGACACCAGGGGTGGTATCGTTCGACACTTGCACGTATTTTCGTCTCCGGACTGCTCGCGCAGCATAACTTCTAGGTTTTGCTCCAGAATGATCTATAATCTCCAAATTGGTCCCGAACGTGTAAAAACCTGAAAAGACTCAAAAACACTCTAGAAACAACAAAAAGACTCTAAAAACAATACATATATCACGGCTAAAATCGGTAAAATCCGTGATATATCAACTCCCCCAGACTTACCTTTTGCTTGCCCTCAAGCAAAACACAAAAACCGAACCCGTGGAAGAAGTTTGAAAACACAAAAATTCCCAATTTCTCTAGCCTATCACCTTGACCATTCAAACCAAATCCATATGCCTAGCAGATCGCATCAAATCCTAACCACCATGTAATTCTCCGCAAGCATTCTTAACATTCCAAATTCCAAACCAAATTCCACAACTATATCCTATAGCCCTTATCCCATAAATCTCATCAATAAAATCAGTATTCAAGAACCTTCTAGACTCATTCCCGTACTATACCATCATAAATCAACTATTTATACACTCAGGTACTCTTTCTCTCCCCAGACTTATTATTTTTCAAACCTTTTTTTTCTTTTAGTTTCAAAGGTGTAGGCGAATAATGGTATCATCGGAAATTTTCCTAACCTCGCTTCCAACCTTCGAGTGATCATTTCTCTTGAAGTAAAATAATGAGATCACAGGAAATTTTCCTATCTCTTTACTCCAAAAGAAAATCATCTCAATCTTTTTTTTTTTTTTTTTTTTAGAATAAGAGAGAGGAGCACCATTCTTTTTCCACATTGGTCTCATTTATCAGGTATGAATGAGGAGTCAAGTTCTGAGAATACTAACCGTATTAACGAGGTGAAGAGCATGAACTTTGCTAAGGCTTTAGCGGATTGTGTTGGAAACGTGGATGTCCTCTGGTCTATCGATTAACTCTCTGGATTTTTCATTAGTCGGATTGAATTGAATCTGCAGCATTAAACTAACCAGGCAATAATCTAGAGAAAAAGATCATAATTTCCAACAAAAATTTTGACTCAATAAAACGACTCAAAAGAAAAAGAAAAATAAGAATAAGACTCAAAAAGAAAAACGTAGTTAGTAACTGCCTCCCCCAGACTTAAACGATACTGTCTCCAGTGGCATTCAAACCCGAAGTTAGCGAAAATAAAAAGAAAGAAAAACGAAAAACAAAAATAAAAATAAAAGAAAAACGAAATCATACCAGTGGGTTGCCTCCCACTAAGCACTTATTTTCAGTCTTTAGCTTGACTATGTCGGGGTTAAGGCATCCGGTGGATCAGATGGTGGCAGCAAATACTTCCGGGAATAACGTCTCATCATCCATGGTGGTGTGTAAGCAGTGGGTGCATGAGGTTGTCCATGGAAGTAAGTGACATCAGCTGGGAGGGACTTAGGTATGGGTGGTATACTCCTTTTTTCTGCATAATCATCAAAAGAACAAACAAGCGCTCGACGAGAAACTCGTGGCTTGCTTAACCGTGAAACAGTCTTGAAAAATTTAAAAGTCTTATTGATGAAATCAGGAGGTTTAGGTGGAGAACGTGAGTACCTCAACTTTTTAGGAGGAGGATGGAGTGAGAGAGGCGCAGTGGTAACAATTCCTGGACTTGCAGCAATGATTCCAGCTTGAAAAATACCTTTGTTGGACAATCCTGGTTCTGTTCGTCCTGGGTGTCGATTGACATAGGTAGTGGTGTCGATCGATACCAATGCAGTGTTTCGACTGTGAGATAGTGTAGACGACAAAGGTCTGTCTCATCGGGGCTGGTGTCGACCGACACCCTGGTGGTGTCGATCGACACTGAGTCTGCAGCTCGGAATTCTGCACTATTTCTGCAATGTGGTTCAGCAATCTGCAGCAACTTATCACCGAACTGTGCCTCATCCTGCATCCTAGTGCTGAACAGATGGTCACCACTCCAATCTTCAAGCTTAGAAGCTTGCATATTCACTCTTTGACATACCCAACAGTAATGTATGTGGAAGTCTCTACAGAAACAGAATGGGGCATCAAGTTGATGCAAGAGCCAAGATCACAAAGAGAGTGAGGAAATTGTCCTGTGGATACGGAGCAATCTAGCATAAAGCTTCCTGGATCAGGTAACTTCTCCGGGATGTTACACTGAATCATGGCACTGACTAATTTGGAGATAGCCATTGACTGCCTCTTGTTTGGATTCTTCTCTAGATCCTCATACACCAGGATTGCACTAATGTCTTTGGTAAGCAAGCTTGCGTCCTCAGCACTGACACCTTTAGTAATCATCTTCTTGACATATCTTTGAAGTGGAACTTCGAGGTTACAGTGATCATCAAAGGGTAATGCACTGAAAAGCCATTCCAGCTTCCATCTGCATTGTTGTTCCCGTATCTCTTGCTTAGACTTCTTAGGCTGCGGTGGAAACACAAGAGCATATGGTGCAGTTCGTGTCCAGTGTCGATCGACACTACTAACGGAGGAGTGTCGATCGACACCCAGGTGATGTCGGTCGACACTAAGACAGTGTGTCGAGTGGTCCTGCAAATCAGTGTTGAGCCAGGTCGATTTTGCTTCGTCACAGTTTGATTTCTCGGATTTGTGAACTGGTTTCGGTCGACACTATACCCTGCAACCACAAAATCAAAATCATTCTCCTCAACTGCAACGAACTCATCTTCACTTTCCATCAAAACAGTGTGGCAAGCAGTTGTGAGACTGTTCTCAATCATTGGGAATTGCTCTAAGGTTCTCTCCAAACTCTCCTGAATCTGTCCCAGCATGGATTCTATCTTACTCACATAAGTGGGTGGAGGGAGGGCTTGGTAAGGAGAAGAACCGTAGTTCTTGGTGAAATTTCTCTAGAAAAGCCATCCTTGTCTGCTGCCAATTTGTCAAAGATCCTGGAATCAGCTCTTTAAGCCAAGAAGCTGCTTCCCCAGCAAGAGAGTATGAGAAAAGCTTGCGATGTAGATAGTCCTCTGAAACAACTTGTGCCTTGATGATTGAAACCAAATCTTCAAACCTCTCGATGTGATCCATTGGTTGTTCATGTGGAAGACCGTGAAACGGGTGCTGACTCACAAGAGTATAGAATGCAGGTTGGAGACCTAAATCGTCGCTTCTTTCAAACGCAGTGGGTCTAATTGCACGCCGATTCTCATAGAACAGGCCGGGGCTGTTGTAGTCACCAAGAGTCATATGACGACCATCTGCTCTATTTACCCAATGGTGTCGAGCGACACCCAGCTGGTGTCGATCGACACCGTGTGCAATTTCTGGTATCACGTTTCTATGTTCAGCAAGTCTCTGACCATCCTCGTTGTATGCCTGACCATCTCTGTCTCGTAACACTCCAGCAGCATCAGGTCTGAGTATCAGCATCATGTTGTTGCGTTCGAATTCCTTAAGCTCCTGTCACAAGAAAAAAAAAAAGAACGCGTAAGTTAAAAAAAAAAGTAAAAGAAAAGTTTAGACTAAATTCTAGACCTAATCTAATGGTGAAGCAAAGAGAACTTCGGCAACGGCGCCAAATTTGATGTGAGTCAAATTAAGACCTAAGACTACTCTCTCAAATAAGAGATCGTGTGTAGCACTTTAGGGTCGAATTCCACAAAACTCTCGTGTTCACACAATAGACTAACAGGGTTCGAATTAAACTAAACAAGTAAAGATTGCAAATTAAAATAAAACAAGTAATTAAAATCGAGATGTAAATCAGATGGGAAAACGTTAGGCTTAGGGATTTCTCAGGAAATAAACTAATAGTAAATCTAGCAAATTAATTACGATTATTTAACGAACCGTTCTAGAACTCAAAACACTAATGAATAGCTAACCACCTCTCGATGCGCTAACTAACTAATCTAATATCAGTAATTCCACCTCTCGATGCGAATTCCTAGATCTAGACTAGCATTAAACTCAAGTTT